TGTGCGCCCTGTGGGTGGGTGGTGTGTGATGTGGGTGGGTTGGTGTGCGTCGTGCGTGGGTGGTGTGGGTGGGGTGGTGTGCGTGTGGTGGGTGTGTGATGGTGGTGGGGTTGGTGTGCGGTTGTGGGTGGGTGTGCTGTGTGGGTGGTGTTGTGTGTGCAGTGGGGTGTTGTGTGTGGTGGGTGGTGGGCTTGTGTGTGGGGGTTGTGTGTGTGTTGTGTGGGTGGTGTGCGTGTGGGGAGTGATGTGTGCGTAGTGGTGGGTGGGTGTGTGTTGTGTGGGTGGTGTGTGGTGGTGTGGTGGGTGTGTGTGGATGTGTGTGTGGGTGGTGTCGCGTGTGGTGGTGGTGTGGTTGTGGGTGGTGTGTGTTGTGGTGGGTTGGTGTTGTGTGCATGTGGTGGTGGTGTGTGCTTGTGGTGGGTGTGTGTCTGTCGAGTGTGGTGTGTGGTGATGGGTGGGTGGTGTGTGTGGTGTGGTGGCGCATGGTGTTGCGTGTGGTGGGGGTGGTGTGCGTGTGGTGGTGTGTGTTGTGTGGGTGTGGTGTGTGGTGGTGGTGTTTGTGGTGGGGTGCTGTGCGTGTGTGGCTGGTGTTGTGGTGGGTGGTGTGTGTGTGGTGGGTAGTGTGTGTTGGGTGGGTGGTGTGTGTGTGGGGTGGTGTGTGTTGTGTGGGGGTGGTGTTGTGTGTGGGTGAGGTGTGGCGTGGGTGGTGAAGTGTGCGTGTGCGTGTTGTGGTGTGTGTGTGGATCTGGGGAGGGGAGTGTGGGGGGTGTGGGTGTGTGAGGTGGTGTGTTGTGGGGCTGTGAGTTTGTGTGTGGTGGTACGGTGGTGGGGGTGTTGGGTGAGTATAATGTGATGCATGTGGGGGTGGGTGTGTGTGTGGTGAGAGTGGTGTGCGTGTCGGTGGGTGGTGGTGTGTGATTTAGGTGGGTGGTGTGGCGTGTGGCGTGTGTGCTGTGTGGGTGGTGTGTGCGATTCTGTGGTGGGTGGCTCAGTGTGCGTGGGGGGTGGTTGTTTGGGGCTGATGCGTGGTGTGTGGTGGGGCCTTGTGGTGATGGTGGCGTGGTGTGTGTGTGGTGGGTCGTGGTGTGTGTGTGTGTGTGGGTGTGGTGTGTGTGTGGGTGGTGGTGTGTGGTGGTGGTGTGCGTGTGGTGGGTGGTGTGTTGTGTGGGTGGTGTGCGCTTGTGGGTAGGTGTGTGTTTGTGAGTGGGGTGGAAACACCATTGTGCGTGGGTGGGTGTGTGTGTATGATGTGGTGAGTGGTTGTGCGTGTTTGTGCGCTAGTGTCGCGCGTTTGTGGATGGTGGCTGTGCGTTTATGTGTGGTGGCGTCTCTCTCGTGGCGTGAAGGTGGTTGTGTGGTGTTGTTTGTTTGATTCGTTGTGTGTGAGCGTTTGTGCTCTGCTGTGTGGTGTTGCTTGTGGTGAGGTCTTGTCGTGCTGGTGTGGTGTGAGACGGTTTTGTGTGTGTGTGTGTGTTGTAGTATAATAGTATGGCGTTCACCATATATGTTTGTGTTTGTGTGCGCTTTGTAATGAAAGTATGTATGTCCACATGCAACCAGTATCCGTGTCTCATTCCACATTTTTTTTGTGTTTTGAGTTAGAGAATTGAAGGAAAAAGAATGTAGAGGAACACGTGAGAGAGAGAGAGAGAGAGAAATACCTGGAATCGTCTGCATGAGAGAAGAGTAAAAGAAAGAGGGTTTAAGATGATATTAATTCTGAAATTAGAGAATCGTTAAATCATTTCAGATTCATAATTAATGTTGGGAAGTTATTTTTTGTTCTCTTTTTCATTGCTTGTTTAAATAGACTCGTTTTAAAGAGTTTGAGTTTCATCGACTTTCTCAATAGAAAATCTTTATTTTTAAGACACTTAATATGGTTTTTGAACATGATTTAGATTAGAAGTTAATTGTTATCGTTACAGTAGGCTTGAAAGGAATTGAAAGCCTACATCATGTAATTTAAGGTTGTTTAATTTCATAACTTATATGGGTTATAATTATCATATCTTTTATCATATTTTTTTTTCGAGTGATTTTATCTGGGTAAACAAAGGTATAGTCATCCGATAACAGGAGCTTACGATGGTCTGTTAAATATATATATATATATATATATATATATATATATATATATATATATATATATATATATATATATAACATATATATATCATAACATGTCAAAAAAAGAAATGAAAATCTAACTTCAACATGGCTTGCTACACACAGACCTTTTAATAATTAATACATTGCAACATACGTTGGTCTGAGCCAAACTTCGTATGAATTACACCTGAAACTCATCTACCTATCATTGTCATTACTTTGTTACCCTTGTAATGCAGCAATTATATATATTTCATAAAATTTTAAAACACTGACTGAAAATATTCTGGATGAGTGAGACTTCATGTGCGATGTTGATAGTGACGTCATATCGCATCATAATAGAAAATGGGAAAAACTTTTAAGGTCATGGCAGAAAATGGGAAACTGTGTGGTTTTAAAGGTATGACTAAGCTAATCGAGGCATGGAATAGTATTAAAAAGTGAAAAAAAGAAAAAGAAAATGGAGAGTACAGGATATTATTATGAAAGTTCTGTGCTTGCTATATGATGATAATGAAGGGTGTGCAAAGACTGATAATACAGAAAAAAGGAAATCAAATGTTTTTTTTTACGATGATAGTGTGTTGGATAGAGAAACGTGGGCGTGGATAGACTGAAGATCAATTCTCGGCGAAACGGACCGATTGGAATTATTTACGAATCT